AGGGGTAAGGTAGGGGTAAGGTAGGGAGTAAGGTAGGGGTAAGGTAGGGGTGTAAGGTAAGGGGTAAGGTAGGGGTAAAGTAGGGAGTAAGGTAGGAGTAAGGTAGGAGTAAGGTAGGGGTAAGGTAGGGGTAAGGTAGGGGTAAGGTAGGGGTAAGGTAGGGGTAAGGTAGGGGTAATTCTGTAGATGCGATTGGCTGGTTGAGTGGAAATGTCTCGAGGTGACAAACTGTTAGTATTTGGCAGGGTTGAACATATCTTGGTAAAATAGGAGTTGAATTCATTTGCTTTTGAAAAATTGTCAGTTAGAAGTAAACCAGATTGGGATTTCACTGGGCCAATGGTGGAGCACTTGTTGACACCTTGAAAGGATCTGACTAAGCTCCAGAATTCTCTACTGGATTTGGCATTGGTAAGTTTGTTGTTCCAGTAAGAAATTTCAGCTGACCTTAACAATTTAATGCAATAATTTCTTTGTTTCATGTAAGCAAACCATTCAAGAGATCCAAATCAAGAGTTGATTGTTTGAGCCAGTAATGTATAGGTGATGCTTCATTGGTCTGTCAAACACTTAATCAGTCAATCAGCGAGTGAGCCTAAAAGATGCAAGATGTTCTGTTCATTCAACCTATAAATTTTTCAATGTCAAATATGGCCTTGATAGAAAGACAAAATTTCTTTTGGAGCAAGTTAATTGGCTATCAGAGAGCTATTTTAGGTCCAATGTTGAAAGGACCATGGGAAGACAAATGTTAATCAGGAGTCAAGTAAACTACAACTTGCTTACATCACTTATGAATACCTGGTTAATCCACACAGATTGTAACAGACTTTGGTCTTGTGCTTGATGTCCCTGATGACATTTTAACTAGAGTTGATAAGATCAATGGATAAAAATGTCAGGCTACAATATAGACAAATTAAATTTGCTGTACACCAATAAATCTATCATTTACCATTCCTTCCAGCAAGTCAGTCAAGTGCATCAAATAATTTTAGTGGTTGCATGATGGACTAGCTTGGTAGTGGAAAATGTTATGTTGATAGAGTTTTATTTCTACAAATAATCATGTCTTGGAAACAGTCTAAAACTCCTTTTTCTGTTCCTGCTTTGCTACAGTTATCAATTATACACGCACATTTAAATTAACCTCCTAATCAAGAGGTTGGCAGGTTGGCAGACCTGGCATGCTAATGACATGGCAGAACATTTTGGAAAGTGGGGTGGAAAGGGGAAAATTGGGACCAACATGTAAGCCAATAGCAAAACATCCCTTCAGAGATGTCTCATATAATTCTCTGTTTTTACCATGTTAAAACCCTAACACTGTTCCGGACTGTCTGTAATCATTCCTGAGTTGCCAGGGGAGGAAAATGGAGGGCAAATCGGTCCTTGCAGCTGGTCAATGTGCCTAGTGCCCAGCCCTTAATGAAAACCCTAGACTTTTGAGTAAACTTTATGAGCATCTATTGTATTTTTCTTGGAAGATAAGTTAATTAAATAGTCTTCTTTCAGTGAAGCCTTTTTCTAGGAAAATGTGATTTCAGAAAAAAATACTGCATACTGTTTTTTCTTTTTTGCTTTCTTTTGTGTTTTCTTTTGACATAACAAACCTATCCACATTAAAAAAAAAAACATGCGAAAAGAGATAGAAATGTGCAAACTGAATTCTTTATGATAGCTCTCAATTCAACTATTTGATTTAAAACCTTTTTTCAAATGAGTGTAGGGGGGGACATTCAGGTTTGCTATGTTGCAGTGTTAACCCTTTTTATGAGTGCCGTATTGCAGTGAAGAGCAACTAGCAATGCAGTGTTTCAGTGATCTCCAACCTTGCAGTGTACTATGTTTGTAATTTCAAAGGTGTTCCAGTGTCGCAGTTTATTCTTTAACCCTTTGATAAACTAGATTTTAATAACCTGTGGTTAATATTGTTGAACAAAATAGCAGTACATGTATCTCTGAGTGAATCTTGAATAAACATCAGCTAATTGACCCCAGGCTTTGTTTGTTTATATCATTCTTGACCTCTGAACCCCTACCACTCGCACTATCAGCCAGCTTAAGACCAGCATGTGGTAAAGATGAGTGAAACCAGACCAGGTAAATCCTGAGACACTTTTTTATTTGATGGCAACATCCATGTGTTGAAGATATTTCTTGCAGTGATGCAATATTTTGTTGTCTTTTGTTTGCAGTGTTGCAGTATTCAGAACCCTCCATGTCCCCCTTAATAAACAAAACCCTAAGCAACTAAAATAATCCAAAAGGCCAAGTCCAGTACAAAGGAATATACAAAAGGACCTACTGAGAACTTAAAGAAAGTGCATTTAAAACCATGACTGACCAAATTACAAGTTATAATAGTTTTGCCAGCATTTGATTGGTTGAGACTGGTAAATTAGTACGGTGGCCTACACGTGCACACCGAATTCTAAATCTCCACACCGAATTCTAAATCTCCACACCGAATTCTAAATTTCCACACCAAATTCTAAATCTCCACACCGAATTCTAACTCTCCACACTGAATTCTAAATCTCCTCACCGAATTCTAAATCTCCGCACTGAATTCTAAATCTCAACGCCAAATTCAAGTTGCTCACACCGAATTCCAAAGATCTGGGAGACTGGAACAAGTATTGTTTCATTGAATTGAATTATGGGGAAAAGAAAATGGTGACTAGAACAGTAGCATTAAAATGTGATGACTCTGGCGCAACGATATCTATTAACCGATTTTGTTCCAACTGTGGTATTGAGCTTGATCTCGAAAAGCTACCGATAAAGTATTACTTTAATGAGGGGTACGAGTATGAAGTTATTTTGTGTTTTTGGTAAAAGTACCATGGAATCCACATGAATGAATAACATTGAGCAATAAACTGCAAAAACATCAATTTCACTTAAAACTAAGCAATATATTACCCCAAAAACAGAGTAATCATTGAAGAACAACACTAAACCAATGCAGGAAACTCTCTCCCTGCAAAAACATTGCAGTATCTGCTCAAAATATTGTATCTTAGCCTATACAAAAAACAAAACTTATGCCCCAACGGAAAGGATCATGGATACGTACACACAATTGGCCAAAAGTAAGAGTCAATAGAAACAAAGCAAGTACGAAATGGTTGTGAAACAACTCATGTGTGACTGATACCAAGAATGAATCTCTACCAGTCTATTTAGTTAATTGGCAACTGACGAGATCCACAAGATTAGGATCGAAACCGTGGTCTTACCTGACCACCTACAGAAAATGTCAAAAGACATTCTAACGGCAGATGGGCTACTAAACGCCCCAGGCCAAAGCAATGCCAATTTGATGAAACAATACTCGGTCCAGTCTCACAGATCTTTGGAATTGGGTGTGAGCAATTTGAATTCGGCGTGGAGATTTAGAATTCGGTGTGGAGATTTAGAATTCAGTGTGGAGCTTTAGAATTTGTTGTGGAGATTTAGAATTCGGTGTGGAGACTTAGAATTCGGTGTGGAGATTTAGAATTTGGTGTGGAGATTTAGAATTCCGCACAGAGATTTAGAATTCGGCGTGGAGATTTAGAATTCGGCATGGAGATTTAGAATTCGGCATAGAGATTTAGAATTCGGCATAGAGATTTAGAATTCGGTGTGGAGATTTAGAATTCGGTGTGGAGATTTAGAATTCGGTGTGGAGATTTAGAATTCGGTGTGGAGATTTAGAATTCGGTGTGGAGATTTAGAATTCGGTGTGGAGATTTAGAATTCGGTGTGGAGATTTAGAATTCGGTGTGGAGATTTAGAATTCGGTGTGGAGAGTTAGAGTTCGGTGTGGAGATTTAGAATTCGGTGTGG